CTTCAAGGGATGGCGAGTGGCACAAAACATAGCCAACGACCGTCTGAACTGTTTATGCGGGGGTAAGCGGTTTGCGTTAATCTTAACCTCGAGCAGGGTGACATTAATTAATCATTAGGGATTACGATAAAAATTTGCACTGTTCGATGATGATTTCCCAAGGTATCGCCCGATTGTTTCGATTGTTAGTCATCTCACCCTTAAAGGTTGCTCCAGTGTCCCTGTAAAACATTATACAGTGTGAAATAAAACTCAGTTTGTTACTAGCGAATGAAGTCGATCAAGGTAGCAAACAATGGTCTCCTCTGATACTTCGAGTTTATACGTTTAATCAGCCTTAGTCCATTTTAGACAGCCAGTCACCAAAGTAAGCTCAATTTCTGGTATCCACTTGCAATGATACATTTGCTCCTGTAGTTTTAGTTCCATTATTGATGATGCTCAGTGGATCTGATTTTCAGAATGCAGTAAGGCAAATTTCAGTCAGTGTGTCCATTTGGTTAAGTGGCGAATTCAATAGACGTAATCTGCACAACGGGTACACAATCTGTGTACACATACATGTTAAAATATTCTGGTCTGCTATAACGTTTCGACTGTCGTGAGGCTTATTTTCTGCCGTGGTTGATTCCAGACCGGGCCAAATTAATTATGGTACGATAACCCCTGTGAAAAAGAAATCAGTCCACGGTTTTCAATGAAACAAGAGCGTAAAATTATGTTGTTTCGACCAATAATTGAGTTTCTTTTTTTACATTTAATATGTTGTCTTCTCATGCGCGAACTATTTATTGTTCGTTTTAGATTTTGAGCTCATTTATCAGTGAAGTACGAAAACTGACCCTGACCATTTGCTTTTGTTGATCTTGCTCTTATCACCATTGATCTAGATACCCAGAAGATGCACAAGCGGCCTACAATGCCAAACCGACTGTTTATTTGCATGACCGGACTGTCACAGTGGAACCCCTGCTGGACACGATCACTGAGGAGGGCACATCATCAGCCGTATATGGTACTGGAAAATCTGCCAGTGATTTCGAAGAAGAATTAGACCCACTCTTCGATCGACGTGCTCCTCGGCATGGCCTATCCCACAAACTAGACTCAAGATTTGCCACGGAACTTCCACCCAAGGCAGTTGGCGGCCCCGGCGCAGTCGCTACCCCGAGTTTGTTGGGTATGCCTAGCCTTGCATCCTCCGCTATGGTTGCAGCTGCAGCTGCAAGAGCTTTAGGATTGGGTTCAGCCAATCCCTTGGCTACAGGGATTCCATCGTCTATTCAGTCTCCAATGAAGTGTCATGGCCTTCTCAAAAACACCGGGCATCGTTGGTATGAAGCACAACATCATGGCCGTTCCCCATCTTCTGGTGATGGAGATCAGGATTTTAAAGCAACGCGTACTCTTTTTATTGGCAGTTTGGAGCCCGATATTACTGAGAGTGAGGTAGTCGAGGCGTTTGAACGCTTCGGATACATTGAACAAATAGATATCAAGCGTTCCACAAAAGTTGGAATGCACTCTTATGCGTTTGTGCGTTTTCAAAACGTTGACATGGCGTATCGAGCCAAATCTGCCATGTCTGGACGTTGTATCCGATCGCTTCATTGCAAAATCGGTTATGGTAAATGCATTCCTTCCACTTGTCTATACATTGGAGGACTGGCAAAAGATATGTTTGTGGAAGTCATGCATCGTTTACTTCCCCGACTGGCTCAAGTGGTTCAAGTGGATATAGTCCCTGGGAGGAATTTCGCTCAGATCCTTTTCGAGACTTGTGAGGCCGCTTGCGAAGCTAGCAAACAGTTAAAAACCCTCGCACTGGGCCTACGCTTGGCTAAGCGGTTGCGCATCGATTTTATCGACCCTGAGACGTTTCGTAATCCTATGCCGAAAAATCCTTTGGGTTTGCTAGTCCCAGGAGGGTATGCATCTGCTGCTGGATTACACACTTCTGATTCACGTGTTCCAAGCCACAGTCTCTCGACCGATGCTCACCAGAAGTTGTCTACTGGCTATGCAGGTGCCGGCAGTATACCCCGTATGGGCCCGGTCGGTCGACTATCCACATTGCATCAGCTTGTGGGACCGGAATGTTCCAACTCCTTCCAGGGAAAGCACGCGGCTCTCGACGCAATGTCTGATCCACGTGGCAAGCCGGGCGAATACCGTGGTTCATTGCATCATGGCCGAACTAGAACATTGCTCAGTCCGGCGGCTTCCGTTCACCCCACATTGCAAAATGTACAAAACTTGACTGATTTGGATCGTTGTCTACAACCGGATTTGTGGACAGGCGAGCTTGTGTTGAAGAAATGTGGCTTTCGATTTCGCTGCTTGCATGTGATCGGTGATGCGGAACTCGGCTCACGTTTGATTGATCCTGCTCCCACAGAGACAACTCCAGCAAGTGAGTGCATGAATGAGTGATAATTATGTGCTCCGCTTGCAGAAAATAAAATGTAAGCCTTGGTGTGTTGAGTTGCCAGGTTTAGATTCAATCCATTGTAGCTGCGCAAAGCGGAGATGTCTTTCGCTTTTGAATATCCTACGAATGATTATGTTGGACAATTTGAAGCGTAGAACTCTAAAATTACCTGTTTTGCACCTTTTGAATGGTGATATAGTATAATGTTTTAGTCACTGTCTCCGGCGTACCTTAAACCCTATGGTCCGAGGTTCGGACCCCACCATCACCATCCAAATTTGAGGGTAAACAACTTTGCTGTCGTCCGGTTGAGCACCACCCCTAAACTAGTGGGCCTCAAGTAATTCACCAGATTGCTCGTTTCCATCACTGAACAGCAGGTTTTCACAACTATGTGGTCCGCCCCATCTGCTCTTTATCATAGAAATGTGTGTGATAAAAATGGGTATTACTTAAATGGTGGGACATTAATTGTACCAGGCCGTGGAGGTCTCTATATGTACGATTGTCACACTTCCGTTTATCGTTCCCGCTTTTGAATGATTAACAAGGTGACACTTTTGACCTGAACCTTGTCGAAAGGAAGGTTATCGTGTGATGGGATAAGTTTTTTTTGTGTGTGGAAAGATCATTCACGCCAAATTCGTTCAATCGAATCTTTTCATAGTAAGGTGTGTAGGGAGCAGGGTAGTGTATAAAGATTTGGTTGTTCTAAATATAATGTGAGTTGTAAATCACCGGTGCTTTTCACGCATACTTGCCAGTGAGGGGTTTTAGCTTGTACTGTCTAATGTCACGGGAGAACAAAGGCGCCAGTATCAAGTTAGGTCAACTCAGTTCAACTTAAAAATTTTTACCATGAAGGAGTAGTGAATACTCTGATTATGCTTTATTGCTCGGAATAGCAGAGCTGTGTGCTACCGAACGCGTCCTCAGGTCGCGAAAAGGGGAGCGACCGCCCATTCGTGGCTAACCGTTAATAAGGTAAGCCCATACTCATTGTTTAGACGGTCACCGGCGATCAGCGGCATTGCTCGGAGATGTGGTGGGTTTACTCCCGGACAAGGATTTTGTGGACAATGTTGCAGTGTGGTGAACGTGGCTAGCCATTAGGTATACCGATTGCCCCTTCCTGAACTTCTGCGCAATTTTACACCGTGCATATTCTTGCATCTTCGACTCCCCTCATTTCACCCACCCCTTCCACTCATTCATTTCCGTCGGGGAATTCAGGTGATTAGACTATTAGTAGTGTTTCAGATGAAAATCCTGTCCGTGTTCTCTCGCGTCCTGTGTCTTGGTGTTGTGCTATACTAGCTTGAACTGTGGATTCATCTGGTGCACCCCACCTTGGTTTTTTTGTTGCAACTAAGTGTTGAGTTAAAGTAGGCGATCGCCTTTGTCCTTCCGGTTGGCTGGGATTGCGTGTGGTCCACCAAGAAGCCTCTTTGATTCGTCTAAGGAACCGACTTGGGCATTGATGTCTCCGGTGATTACCACATTGTCCGTTGATCGAACGCTTTGGAGTAATCGAGAAAGAACCTTGTAAAGTTCATCCTTGATTTCAAGTGTACTGCAATCCATCGGTGCATACACCGATACGACGAATAAACATCGACG